GAAAGACTGTTTTTTTTAATATTATAAATAGATACAGGTGCAACAGCCATGGTATAAGTATCGTTCGATAAAAGTCACCCTATTTCAAGCAGTGTGGATAAATAGAAGCTGTATTGAACGATGGCTGAAATCTTTTGCTTACTATGTTACTATAAAAAAAGCCGAGAATATATTATATAAGCAATGACTAAAGTTTCTAGTATACAATATAACTATAAAAGTCACCGAGTTTAAGCTGCTTAAAGAGACAATACCATAGAATGTAACTATAAAAGTCACCGAGTTTATGCTGCTTAAACAGACAATACCATAGAATGTAACTATAAAAGTCACCGAGTTTAAGCTGATTAAAGAGATAATACCATAGAATGTAACTATAAACGTCACCGAGTTTATGCTGCTTAAACAGACAGTGCCATAGAATGTAACTATAAAAGTCACCGAGTTTAAGCTGCTTAAAGAGAAAATACCATAGAATGTAACTATAAAAGAAGCAGGGATTTCATTAGTGAGACAGCTGTAGTAGTGATTGTTTAAAATTTCTGTTTAGAATAGTTTTATGAAAAAAACAAAAAACACTGTGTTATAACATCACAAACGTGAAATTTAAAGTTTGTTTTTGGAACCCACTTTTAAAAGGTACACGCTCCCATTTTTACTGCTCGTAATGGGAAAGGTTAAACTGGATATACAGAGAAGTCCACTAATGGAAGAGTATTTTTTTTTGTCTCGTTTGTGTCACGGAGCAGTAATCTCTCGCCAACAGTCTCGAAGATTTGGTTTCCTTTTCTTTTTTTATATGCTAACCTTAAATGTGGTCTGGTATGTGTTCTGGTTGTTTTTATCGAGTTTTTTCTCGTGGAACAGTGTTGTAAGGTCGTTTCTTTTGGAGTCTTTTTTCCATGATTCTTTTGATGCAAGCCATTGTCTCGTGCTGTTTATAACCTTTGTAACAAGAACGAAGTTGTGTTTCTGTATCTATCATCACGTGTCCTTTTCTTTCAGGTTTTTTTTCTACTGTAACAGAAAAATAATGTTTAATATTTACACTATATTGGATTGAAATATTTCATTCTATTTAGAGCTTTTTACGGTAAAAACCTTTTTTATTTAGAGGAGGCGCAATACTATGAACAATGAAATAAATCTATTGAAACGGATGCGAACCACAGGAGAACACATTGCTATCAACCCGTGAAAAACTGAACTACATCTTTGACTACTTCAAGCTGCCTATGACGCTAGGCACTATATAACATTTTCGGTTGTTGCTGTCAGAAAAATAATGATTGTTTTAATCCATACTGTCAGGCCATCCATCTTCTTTCTCTCTTGTAAAACTGCTCTCTCCTCTGCACGTGAGCGGCAGTCTAGGCGATCTCCTATTGTACACGTGCCGGTTTAGCGTTCATTTGAATTTCTGGCGATTGATTTTGTGGGTTGTTCTGCTTGTGTTGCGGGTTTTATTATTATTCACATGGATTCTAATACTTCTAAAGGTAGTCTGAATATTTTTGTTCGTGAGATGAAATGAGTTCGCAGCCTTATGTTTCATATAAAATTGAGACAGCATGTAAAGTTGTCACAACGTTTAAATATGCTAAATTTTACATTATCGTATACGTAAGTCAATTAATGTATGTCTTAAATGATGAAAGATTTATACACGCAACACATTTTAACTAAAAGTGAACTTACACACAATAAAATTAGATACAATATAAAAATATTAATAAATACTAAGCAGAAACGAAGTTTGGTATGTTTTGTATCAACTGTATATTTTCAAGTCTTAAAAACATAAAGACATCTTTTCCCTCATAAAACTCGATCTAACATTAAACAATAGTGTGTGACTAATTGATATTGTAATATATTACGTTGTTTTTATTGTTGCTGTTTTCGTGCAAAGCTACACAATTGGCTATCTGCGCTCTGTCCGTCGTGGAGAATCGAACCCTGGATTTTAGCGTTGTAACTTATCGCTGACCCACCGAGGTACAATACATTTGGTTTCAAAGTCAGTTTACAATATGACCAGCAAATTAGCACATGAAATGTAGAAAATAAATAAATGATATCTGAAATAATAATTGACAGGTATTTTCCACTCAATACACTTCTAATCTACAAGAAACATACACGATACTTTTCGAGTGACTGTTCTTTAATTAATCTCTTTGAAAGAGGGGGGAAAAAGGAATGAAAATCGTTTGTTAGATGTTTTCTTCAAAGGATTAGAAATCTTACACCATAGTATGTCCAGTCAAGTTCAATGTAAACAAGCATTTCTTTTAGTCACTAGCTCATTTCTTAGCTATATTACAAAGTAACCATCGTATTTACAACATTTTACATGATAGGCAATATTCACAACATTATACATGATAGGCAATATTCACAACATTTTACATGATAGGCAATATTCACAACATTTTCCATGATAGGCAATTCAAATTAGTAGAAGAGAGAACTTGGTAACTACATCATTTTAATATCGTGTAATTCAGGAAATATCAACAACTTGAGATATTATTTGAAGATAAGTAGAACAATATATAAAAAATTCAAGAAACATCTGAAGCTCTTTTTTTAAAGTGCCACGTAAAAGTTTCTTTTGGTCTTAGCCACCCATTAGGTTTTATTTAAGCGCCATTTGTGACAAGTTAGATAAAAAAATGCTTATAGAATAAACCTTATTCTTTAATATAAAAGTTATAAAAACTTAGAAAGTCACTTTCAAGAAAATCGATTGTATTTTCTTCGCAAGTTTGTAAAAACTTCTTTAAAAAGTAAAGTTTTCAAATTAAGTTAGGAGAACACGGAGTACAACATCTCTGTTCGTCTGGAAAGCGGGAATGTATGACTTCTGTTCTTGTTATTGTTCACTTTTGTTTAATAAAGCATGTCTCATTAAACCATAAATCCATCAGGAATCGAATGATAAAACGACGAAAGTAGTTACTTATTCGACGTAACCACAGTAAAAAAAAAATGCAAATAAATATTGAAATCAATACCCGCATAATCCCAAGCATCCATGACAGAAACACAGATAACATAAATAATGACAGTTAGGAGTACAAAAGTGGATGAATACAGGCTACATAGTGGGAGTTGTATTGTACATCTCAATAATTAGAAGAACGTGCATGAATAGAATCCACCCAGCGTACCTACCACGTTTATCAAAGTTAACATCTATTTTCAAGCTTGAAACGTGAAACCAACTTAAAAATTAGAAGCAGATATGGTTACTTAAGCCTACATCGTTCTACCGCAAGTTATAGGAAAAATATATTTCCTCCTAATGAGCGGTATGGAATGATATATATATACGCTGTATTAAGAAGACAACGACGTTTAAGTAATATGATTCTCTGGAGTACGGGGGAATACATAGAAATTCTGTTTTCTGTTTCAAGTATCCTAAATGTCTCTCGAGTATTTAATATTTCTATTGTGATGAAGCCCAACTTGCTAAAAGGATTGTTAAACTATATTTAACCTACACTACAACTACAAACTTATATGAAGACAAACACTTACCGGTAGGGGGCATTTTACAGTGAAACCATGTTCATTATACATAAACAGTCTAATTAGCAAAGCCTTCATCCTGGGAAATCATGTCAGTTCATGTAAAATGGCTTAGGAAAATAAAATTTAAATTAAGTAGGTCCAACTGTTTCTGATATTATTTTTGTATTCACTATTAAATTCTGTTCATGCAATTTTATCGTTGAAGTAAATGATTTCTAACCTTTGTTTTGTAACACTATTTATTTAAAATAGAGAAATATTTTAACTAAATCGGGTTTTTCTTCTTACTTTTTCCTTAAACAAATTTCTAGTTTATAAGAACTATAACTATACAGAAATAACGATAAACCCAGTAATGAGTATAGCTAATCAAATATATGCCTCTTACATTCTTACTCATAAGGATTAATCCCCCAGTAGCACAGCGGTATGTCTGCGGACTTACAACGCTAGAACCCGGGTTTCGATATCCGTGATGGGCAGAGCACAGATGGCCCATTGTGTAGCTTTATGCTTAATTACAAACAAACAAAAATAAGGATTAAAACCCATTGTTCCATCAGTGGGGTACCCTCGCGGTTAAAATATTTTCAGCCATAAACCCAATAACATCTCACGAGGTTCATCCAGCTTAGGAGATTTAGGTTAGTCCTAAATCCATATACTAATCTAACAATGCAAAATAATCTAACTAGCTAGATTAAACATTTTAACTAATGATATTAATGACAGTAACTGTAAAGCAAGAAAGAGTATGCCTTCTTCACGGAACAAATAAACACTATGATACAGGATGATCTATAGAGAAATATACAAATACTCTAATCAAGCTATATATACCAATGTAAAGTGAACTATAAATACTCAAATCAAGCAAATCTTTACGATCTTATCTTGTATGCAGATCGATCTATGAAGAACAATATAAACACTCAATTCAAACGACATTTCACACTTTTGCTATACATATAGACCCATGTATAGAGAGCTATAACTTTCATGTTCTTATTCAAGAAATAAAGAATTATATAACTTCTCATATCAGATCATAACTTATGTTTACAGGCCGCTTTATATAGAGCTGTTTAACCACTCAAAACAAAATATATTTTCCCTTTGCTTCAACTGTCTAGATTAAGCTATTTAATGTGCTGTTTTACTCTTCGTCGCGTTTTCGACTAAAACCAAACAAACAAAATATAGTCTTTCTTATTTATTATTATATCACATTTATTACTGAAAGGTTTCGTTTTCATAATGGATTATTTTGATATCGACTTGTGTTTTGATTACTTATAATTATTTATCAATTACTTACTTGCATTTTCATTAGGCGGTATTTATTATTTTCAGTAAAATATATTTTGTAACATTTTTTTCCCATCTGACATATTGATCATTATAAGCGTGTGATGCGTAGATTGCCTTGTAACATTTTTATAATCTGTTTTCTACAGAGAGCGGGGAAAATGGCATGCCCAGAAGACTACGAACAGCCTACACCAATACGCAACTCCTAGAGTTGGAGAAAGAATTTCACTTTAATAAGTATCTTTGTAGACCTCGTCGCATTGAGATTGCCGCTTCTTTGGACTTATCTGAAAGGCAAGTGAAGGTGTGGTTCCAGAATCGACGAATGAAACACAAAAGACAGACTATGATGAATAAGAGCGACGAAAAGAGTAACTCTGGAGGAGGAGGTGACAGTGGCACTGAGAGCGTAGAGAGAATCGAAAATAAAGAAAATTCAATGGATAAAGAAGACTCTTCTATATCGTCGATTCCTAACCCACACGGACATGATGACCAGACTGAATGTAATGTTTATGCATCAGAAAAGACAGACTCTTGTTGTGGACGAACTACAGCATCCCCAGCAAAGTCTGAATCCAGCTTGAATGGGACATTGACGGACAATGATATTCCTGTTTCTCGACCTCCAATAACAGATATAGCAACTGATGTCAGTGAGTCGTTACATGTTATTCAGGGAGATCAGATACCAGTCAATGGAGTAAAGACCCCAGAAGGTCCTTCTATCGTCCAACCAGTTGCAGCTTCTGGTGATCGTGTCCATCCCAGCAGCTCAGAATCTAGTTCCACTTCTTCAGCCATACTTGTGAAGAATTCGAATGAGTTTCAGACAGCCAACAATTCCCATGTTCTAATAAACGGCGGCGTGTGTATCATGGGTTCTACAAATCGAAGGTCAGATGTCTGTATATCGGAGCGTAACTGTGGTCATTGTCATCCACCTTGTTCTGTCTTTCATTCTGGCTCAGCACAAGAATCCACCCTCAGAAGCAGTCCGACTTCTGGTTATTCGTGCCCTCAAGTGCGACCTGTAGGATCCCCTGCCTTCCAACGACCACGGATTTACAATGGGCCATACTCAACGGATGGGATGGTCAGTTACTCTTCCAGTGGACAACGAGGGGCCACTCCTCCTCTTGTATCTCCCTACTGCTATAGAACACCTCCACCAGCCCACCTACAACATCAACAAAGGGTCCACTCGGAGATGTCTTATAACATAGCCGGAAACCCTGATAGCTACCGCACGGGCTCTTCGGCTTCCACCATGTTTTATCACCCATCAGGTCATGGCCCTACTCCTCCTCCTCCCACAGCGAGCTGTGTACAGTCTCCTGCAACTACGTATCCTTTACCAGAAACACAGAATACTCCAGCTCCTCCCGCCATTATGATGAATCCAAACGCCCCAGGACAGCTCAGGACAAACTTTCATCCTCCTCCTCCGCGTCAGTATGGGTACGAGAATGCTGTAGAACACGGGCCTGTCAATCAAGCAATATCTCCTCACCAACACCCACCCCTTCCTCCACATCCCTATATGCATGACTACCGGATACACAACGCAGACTACAGGCATTATGGCAACTACAGCCATGACACCAGCGCTTTGAACAGCAGTGACTCGTATATCGCCAATGGAATGAACAACAACGCTAGCAACTTATCTTACTGTTATAACCCATATCGAGCAGAGGGCTGTATGACTGATGACGACAAAAATTACACATCACCTAACGGCCAAAGTGTGTACTGTGATCTATCAAACAGCAGTGGCAACCGAGTGCCAGACTACAGTGCCACAGCTCCCAAACAAACTTTTCCATCAACCCCGACGTTTTACGATCCCTCTGGCTCCGTGGGAGACACGGCAAACATTCCTACTTATAATTCGTCTCCAGATCAGTACAATGGACACTGCTCTACAGACAGTGAACTGAGTTTCAACTATGCTGGCTACTACGACTCTGGAAACTATGGAGAGAGCCCGTGTGGAACAACACAGTTCAACTTCCTCAGTAACATTGAATATTCAACACCAGAATATTACCAATTAACCTAACTTTAGAAATGATTATCACCGTGCGTGTAAATACGTTTCTAGTACTTTTTGGTCTTATATATTTTCTACCCAATGAGACGTACAGAACTGGAACTGTTTTAACCAGAATCTGTCCCACAGTATAAATTTGGAAAATCTCTCCTTTTTTCCGCGTGTGTGTGTGTGTACTTTCAATAGAAGAACAGACTTAGATACAAGGCAACAGGGTTGCTTTGTTTAACTATAACGCCATCTTTGTCGTCAAAGTGATGGAGTATGTTGTAAATACAAGAAACTTTCGGACTCAAGAAAGAAAAAATAACTTCAAATTCAATACTAATGCCCTTTGCAAATAACACTTCAGTAAAAAAATATATATAGTTAAACATTCGTGTATTTACTAAAAGCAAGATTCCTTTTTCTGTTGTTCAAGTTTGTTAAAATAATAAAAATATGCCTTTACAAATAAGTTTTATTTAGCCAGAAGAAACGCTAGCCCATAGAAACAATTGTTTGGATCATATAGAGTTCGTGTGCATACACTTTTCATTTAGTGCTATTCAATCAGTGATAATGTAGTTAAGGGTAATACAATCAAATATGTTTTAATGTTAGTTCTTGAATATTTCTCAGAGTTATATTGCATACTAGGTAGTGGAAAGTAATTAATCTGATTTGTTTAATAGTAGGACTTGTTGCAATTCTAAAATATGTTATTTAAGAAACTTTTCTGTTGTTGTTTTTTACATTATTAAGAATCTTATGTGATTGATTTATTGGTTAGTATTACCTCAGCGTTGCATTAATATTTTAAGTTATAACGATGTTTATAACAGAAAACGGAGAAATAAGAAAGCGTAAAATTTATATAGAAAAATAACTATAAAATATTTGAGTGTGTTTTTTTGGTATTAAGCCTTGCTTCATTTAATTTATTCACATCACTAATGCAAAAATCTGACTGTTTTGAGCTGACGTGTGTGTAGTTTTTTTATATTCTTTTTTTTTTTTTGCTTTCAAAAATATAGAGAATGAAACGACACTCTAGAGACGAAAACGAAATATAGTCACATTAATGTTCACTGCTATCTTTAAATAGCTCTTCATATGCTGAATAGTTCAAATGACATACATACTCTAATTTGTTCAAATTACATTAACCTAGAGTGCGTAACTAATTTATAAGTGAGTGTGAATTTTATCACAAGGCAGAAACGGTGTGACACGAATATGAGGGTTTAACTTTTTTAAGGTGAATACAGACAGGCACAATAATGAGGGCTTAACTTTGTCAATGTGGAAACAGGCTGACACAAAGATGAGGGTTTAACTTTGTGATGGCGGAAACAGTGTGACACGAAGATGAGGGCTTAACCTTGCAAAGTTAGAATAGTCTGACACAAAGATTAGGGTTTAACTTTGATAAGGCGGAAACAATGTGGAGCAAAGATGAGGGCTTTAATTTGTCAATGTATGACTGTTCTCGAGCATGTAGGTGAGGTGTCTGACTTTGAAAAAGTTAGTATTTTTAATACGTAAGTGAAGACTTGACTTCAATGAAGTGTTTCTCTGTATATTATTTGTTTAACGTGACGGAGGTTAGTGTTTTTATAGTCACGTGGTAGATGTTCAATTTAAAATACATTTCTTCCAAGACAAAGATAACAGCCTCAACCCTAACAAGGCATGTGTTTTTACTAACCAGACTGCTTCCGTAAAAGCTGCCCTCTGGTGGCTCAACGATAATTCTGAGGGCCTGTAACGCTAAAAATTGGGTTTCGATACCCGAGGTGGGCAGAGCACAGGTAGCTCATTGTGTAGCTTTGCACATAACAACAAACAAACCGTAAAGATTATGTCGCTTATTCAAGGAACACGAATAAATGATAATAAGGCTTAGTGTAAAAAAAAAAAGAATCAAATAATTTAAAATATCATCAAAGATCATGAATGCTCTGCTAAGTACAAATATTGTCAAGTTTAAATCTCATTGTCATATAAACTTGAAACTTTATTGCATTCATTCTTGTAAGTTAAAAAAAAATCAACCTTGTTTTTCATACAGTGGAATTATCTTCTCTATGTGTGTGTTTGAACCAACTCGTATTTGTATGGTGTATTCACAGATTGAGAATTACGTCAGAACCAACTCGTATTTGTATGGTGTATTCACAGATTGAGAATTACGTCAGAACCAACTCGTATTTGTATGGTGTATTCATAGATTGAGAATTACGTCAGAACCAACTCGTATTTGTATGGTGTATTCACAGATTGAGAATTACATCATTATTCACACTAATACGTTGTAATAAAAAACATTGTACTCGTATAATATGGCATATAGCATAAGAAGTTTTCAAACAGAGGACACAAAATGTATTTACATATATTTGCAGAAAGTGCTTTTCTTTATAGAGCTGGACACTGTATCACACCATTCTCTTTATATACTAGGAACTGTGGGTATTTTATACTGCCTAAGTAGGGGGGGTTATTAATTCGGTGACTAAATATAGTCATTTTAATCATAAAATGTTATTGCACTAAAAACACGTAGTTTTTTTAAAAAAGTTTGTTATAGCAAATAGATAAAACCCGATAACATCCTAGCTTTCGACAGGAGGACCTGTTTTATTCCGGAATAAAATTAACAGGCTTTTACCCTTGAAGAAGGGAGGTCCTCGTGTGAGCGCTCCTGTTTTATCGGCTTTTTGACTATGATTAATTATAAAATAAACATTTTAAAGAACTAACGAAGCAGGAGACGACTACACGAAAGCCATAGGGGGAACTTGTAAACATTATAGAAATTCTGAGAGTCCTGATAGTATAAATAGCTTCCAGTATATTGAAAACGAGACCCAAAACTCGAGTGCTTTCGAATAGTTGACTATTCTTTACTCTCCTAAAGAAGATGGCCCAGCATAACCAGATGGTTAGGGCGCTCGACTCGCAATCTGAGTTTCAATCCCTGTCCCACCAAACATGCTCGCCCCTTCAACCGTGGGGCCGTTATAATGTGAC